CGCCGGCGCCAGAGGGGCCAGGCGGGTGGAGGCAGGAGCCGCCCGGCGCTGAGTGAGTCACGGCGCCGTAGGCTGGAGAACCGCGCGCGGACTCGGGAGGGGGAGGAGCTGAACCCTTCACCGAGGCCTAAATGCCTTGTTTCAAACTTGTGTGCGTCTGGTGGCCAGCGCAGCCTTGGAGAGGCGTAAGTGTGCAGTTCTGTTCATCCGACTCTGAGCCGGGTAATCGTTCAAGGTCCGAGCGCAGGGAACCCTAGCACCAAGGAAAAAGTACACACTCCAATGAAAACAATAATTTATTTAAATAATCTCTTCATATTGTAAAATCAACATTAAGAGTATGTTGCTTTCTTAATAAATAACCCCCAAATACCTTGCATTTCAAGAACAAAGACTTTAGGACAAGATAAAAAGAAATTCAAATCAGTAGCTTAATTTAACTGAGAAAAATTTTCAAAGGGAAAAAAATAAAACGAACGGGTTTCTGAGGTCACTGCTAAGTTGCAGTTTTCACAACTGGGGGGTTACAAAAAAGTCTGAAAAGTTGAGGAATTTTATACAAATAAACGTGGGGAAATCTGCACAGACACCTTTATTTACAAACTCTGTGTCGAAGTCCGGGCTAATAGTCCTTAATTCATCTTAAAAAAGATACTTTAAACACATTTTTTGCAGCGTCCACATATTAAAAAAATCAGTTTTTTTTTAAAACATCAAAATGAGGTCATCCGCAAAGGCACCTAAACTTTTAAAAAAATAAAAATAAAAAAACTCCACTGGTGATGGATGAGGAGCTATGGGAGTGTTCCTGGCGAAGGCGGGAAGAGATCTGGGTTTCTAGGGCTGGGAACCACCCCCCTCCGCCCCCAGCAAGGAAGGAAAAAAAAAAACGGCTGGATCCTGGGGTCATGGGGGTACATGGGGGGGGGGGCAGGACCCGGGAGGTCAATAACCGAAGCTGACAGGAGCTGAGCCCTGGGGCAGGCGAGGAGAAAGGAACCTCTGAGTACCGGGAAGCCTCTAGGGCGGGCGAGGCGTCCCTGTGCCTGACCCAGTTCAGGACCGGAGAGACCAAGGTCCCTGAGGATCACGCTAAGAGGGCTGGGAAGGGGCGACAAGTCCGAGGTGGGCCTAAAAGTGGCCGGGGCTCATGTCGAAATTGCGGCCAGGGGTGCCGGGCTTGGCACTAGAGGATCCCACAAGGCCTGCTTGTTCCCAGTTGCTCCGTGACAGAGCGAGGAGTGGCTCTGCGACGGGTCACCGTCCACCCCCAGTCGCCACTTCCAGTATGGCTGGGTGGCGGTCGCGGGCTGGTAGGATTGAGCCTCTAGCTATGGGGCGCTTACTGGAGAACACCGTGTCTCAGTTTTCAAGTCTCTGGCGCCGATTCCTCAGGGTTAGAAAATCGTCCCGGCGCTCACTGGGGCGCCCCCGCCTGCGTGGTGGTGATGGTGGTGGGGGTGGGGTGCCTGCGGGGGCTGGCGGAGTCTGCGAGGGGTGCAGAAGTGGCCCAGTGGCCTGCAGGTGTGAAGCGGAGCCCGAAGCCTGGTGATACCACGGGTAGTTTCCCAGAAACGCCGAGGCGGCGCTGCTCGGGCTGGAGCCGGAGCTGCCCGGGCCACTGCCTCCACTGCCCGGGCCGCTGCCCCCCATCCGTTGTGGCGCGCCGAAGTCCCAGGAGGCTGGCGCCGAGACCGGCGGGGAGGCACAAGGTGGCGAAGCGCTGGCTCCAGGGTGCTGCTCGGTGGGGATCTCACCGCTTTTCCACATCTTCTTGAACTTGGATCGGCGGTTCTGGAACCAGATTTTAACCTTTGTGGAAAGAAGGAAAAGCGCCTGAGTTTTATAGTGCAGGAACCTGGGCAGGAAGTTGGTAGAATAGGGACCGACCGCCTGTTAGAGATGGCCATTGAGCCACCTGGGCACTTCCCGGGGCTCTGGGCCCTGCTGCTCTGGTTGCATTAGGACATCTCAAAAAAGCTGATGTCTGAGCTCTAACTATGTGACCAGGGTGTATGTACCGTGGTGTCAGGAGGTCCAGTTATGTCACCCGCTTTATCAGCAGTGAGTGGAAAGGCGACATAGTATCGGATTTCTGCCCACCCGGGTTCTTCCCTCCCTCCAGGCGGTTCCTTTTGAGTTATTATTTATGTATTTACTTGTTTAGCTTTGGGCCTAGAAGTTTATGTTGCCGGAACGCACAGATGAAAATATACTTTTGAAAAGTTGTCCCGAGCGCGCCTGCTTCCCAGCTAAACCAGGCCAGAGCCCACCTCGCCCACCTGAGTCTGAGTGAGGCCCAGAGAAGCGGCCAGCTCGGCTCTCTCCGGCAGTGCCAGATACTGTGTCTTCTGGAAGCGCCGCTGAAGGGCTGCCAGTTGGAAACTGGAGTAGATGGTGCGTGGTTTCCGGACTTTCTTTGGCTTCCCGTTCACTATTCGGATTTCAGGTTCTAGGTCTTCCTTGTCTGCAACGAAAAGGAATTGTGAGCACCAACCCCCGGGGGTCCTAAAGTTCGCAGCTGGGCCTGTGCGAACTTGGCGGGAGCCTGGAGGCGGCCTCTGCAGCTTCAGCACGCGCGCAGACTGGCCCAGCCACGAACCCTGCAGACACCAGGAAGACCTGTGCGGGAGAGAGCCTGGAGGCTGGCAGTAAGGAAATGTGCTACCCCAGAGGCGTGCACAGAATGCCACTCAACCCGACAGCCCACCGGGTCTGTCCAGCGGAGCGTGCAGGGACAGAAACAGTGATTCGCGGGCCGTTCGAGATTGGGCTGAATTAAGGGCAGAAGCAGGAGGTGGACAGGGTGCAAGGCTACAGCTCCGGACTGTCCTCCTCCTCCTTCTCCATGCTTACCCGGTCCCTCCCTGTGGCCAGGCCGACTTTGACACCCTAGATGTCAGCGTTATGCGTACCGGGCTCATTGTTGACCGGGGACGAACTGGTTCCGTAGGGCGCATAGGAGGTGTACGCGGCGGTGTAGCCCAGGTCGTAGCTGCTTTTGGCGGAGTAGGAGACGTTGCTGAGGCCGGTGGCGTGGTACTGGTAGGAGCCCATGTGCGCGTAGGGCGAGGCCCCCCCGCCGCCGCCGCCCGCCGGGTGCTGCTGGTTGGTGTAGTAGCTGCTGTCGGTAGCTGTGGACACCGGCAGGGTTGGCGACTCCTGGGGTTTGTGCAGGCTGCCGTTACTGCTGCTGCTGTTGCTGCTGCCGCCAGGGCCGGCGCCGGCACCGCTCGGGGGCTGCTGATGCTGGTGGTACGTGCTGGAGGCGGTGATCTGGGTCGAGTGCATATCAGCCACCAGACTGTCAAAGACTCCAGTCATCCTGACCCGGGACAGGAAAGAGCACGGGTGGCGGGTGAGAGGGGGATGCGAGGCGCCTCCTCTGTCTCTCCAGGTCCCTTCCAGCAGCCAATGTAATTACCGGGAGGGGGGAGGGAGAGGAAAACAAGAAATGAGGCAACGGTCTAGGCGCCTCCTCCCCTGGAGGAGGCGATCACCATGCGTGGCTCGGGACCGCAGCTGCTGGCCGCATCCTTCCCCGGCCTCTCGGACCTCTCGGCTCCTGGCCCGGCTCGGGCAGGGGGCGGGCAATGGAGGGGGCAGGAGTGGTCAGGCCCGGTAGGGGCTCCAGGAGGCGGGAGCAGGTGAGCGACCCCCGAGCAGCTTTACGATTGTCTGCCGGGCGGGCTCCTGCAGGGTGGGCATTTAACATTTGTCACGTGACCACGGGCGACGTCACCTAGCAACAGCCAATCAGAAGGAATGGGCTGCGGGGCTCCGCGAGTCCGCGACCCGGCGGCCCGGGGACCCGTGTCACGTGGCGGGCAAGGCGGCGGCGGTGGGCGAGTGCAAGACCCACGGCAGAAAGTGGGCACGGGACCTGGAACTGGCTGGGGTGCAGGATGGCCCGCAGCAGGACGGAAGGCGTCTGGTCTCAGAGGAAGAAGTGGGGTAACACTACTCTGCTTGTCAGAACCAAGTCTAACGTTTTACATCTTATCCGAGGTCACGTTAATCAAATAAATCCAGGCAGAGGGCCGAGCCAGCTCTGTCTCCTATTCCTCCTATTTCCTCGAAGTGTCTGGCACTTACTCTCATCAGCCACTCGGCACCTGACGGTCAATTGATTTAAATTATCCATAAACCGCGTATAATAATACACACTTCCCAACCAACCCACAGAGATATTAGGCAATTAATTGGATAATATTTAACGTTTTTCCTTGTTGCTTGAGAGAAGAGCTCTATAAGCCCAAAGGTATTATTACTAATAATGTATTTGAAATCACTTTTACTTATACACATAAAGGCCTCCAGTAATGAAGCACGGCTAAGCAATTGTTTGGAAAAGCGATCCCGAGGCTTCCTCTTTGGGAAAGGTAGGCCAGAGCCTTCAAAGTCGTTTGAACCGGTGTTTTTACGAAAAGGGAATAAAAAAATACTGAAGTAACGTTAGAAATCTATCAAGGTTCAATCACACTTAGCCTGCTTTTTTGAGGTAAACAATAAACATAAAAAGTTTTATTTCGTGTGCTGAATTCTATTTTACATTTATCGTGTTTGAGAACCTTACTCCGCTGTTGTAATTTCTCCTTCTCTGGGGTTTTGTTTTTGATTAAATCAAAGTAATGATCTCTCTCTCTCTCTCTCTCTCTCTCTCTCTCTCTCTCTCTC